CCCTCCTCCACCAAAACCACCCACCCCACCCACCCCAAATTCTCGCGCAAATTTTAGGCCCCTATACGAGTGGTCCGGTATTCTTCTCAATCTTCAGGATTTCTCTTGCATAAAACGACAGGGATAGAGTAATTAGGCCTACCGGCGTAAGTCCAGATGCACAGCTATTGATCTAGATCTAGATCTAGATTCTAGTACCGTTTCTATCCAAGTAATTAATACCTTACCTCCTTTTAAACGCAATAGTGCTTGCAGTCTGACGGAGAAATCTTCTTGGGACGAGATGAACTTAGCACTTGCGAGAGCAGGCTTGTGACTGAGAGTATAAACAGTGAGTGAGAAGCCCTGCAGTAGGTTTGCCGATGTTCCCAATTCCCAATGAGAGTGATCGCCCTTGCCCGCGTTGCCCCTCTCACTTCACCAGCACTGATTCGCCGTCGGCCTTCAGCTGTAGGTATAGATCTAGAGTATTATTCTAGGCTAGCATCTGCGTTTGTCGCGGCCGCGACCCGCGAATCGCGGCCGCGATTTTCATTTTCGGCTTTTTCTGGTCCGCGAATCGCGGCCGCGATTTTCGCGTTTTTCGAAAAAAAAAAAAAAAACGACCGCCGGGGAATGAAAGTCAACTAAAAAAACCCAACAACAAACAGACAAACAACAACAAAAAAAGAATCCGAACCTCTTTACTTTTACTTTAAGAAAGAAAATGTTTTCACTTTTGGGGGGTATATAGCGTAATGTCATTTAATTTGATTTTGTTCCTACCTTTTTATTATTATATATATGTGAGGCAGCGTGTGGAAATAGGCGCACGTCAAATTAATGAAATTGAAGAAATTGGCATTTTCCCACCAGTTTGACCACTTTTATGGAAAATTCGTTTTTTGGCTCAACCTTTTACGTCCATTTAATTAAGAACCATGTTTGTGTGAGCTTACTGAAAAACATTGATTAAAGACACAAAAAGTGTAAATTGTCTGTTTCCACGGACTCTCAGGCTATGTAAATAACCACATTTTGGCTTCCATATTATCACTTATTTTACCTCTGAAACCAAGCGACCCCCACCTCTGTCAATTGCAAATCTTGCCTTGTATTTCTAAATAAATAAGGTGTGATTCCATAATTTACACGTAATATGCTGTACTTAATCTTCAGATAGGTGGACACACGCCCTTATTTATTTATAATTATTATTTTTATTTTTTTGGTTTGTTTTTTTGTGCTGTTCTAATTTTAATTTCATTCTGTTGCGAAATCTTTCTTTTTCACGTTTTTACACTCGGTGTGGCAACAAATGACATTTTGGATACTTAAAACAGAGCACAAGAAATTCTGGTGCTTTAGATTAAGTTACCTCGAATCAACATAGTGTCATACATTGCATTATATACGTCGTCACATAGAGTGAAAAGCTTGAAAATGAATGGCAACTTTTATGGCAACTTTTGCCATTTTTGTGGCAACTTTTGGACAAAAAAATGGCAACAAACGCAGATGCTAGTATTACACTAGACAAGGAGCTTAGAACTAATAAACTTCTTGAGTAGGCCTAAAGAGAAGAAGAAAGTTGCCCCTAGGTAGGCCTACGGGGGTTAGATACGTTTAAAATAGGTCTAGACCTAGTGAAGCGTGTCTGTCTCACTGTGCCTGCGAAATTCTGCTGAGGAAAAAAAACGAGGTGTTCACTGTGTCATAGTCATAAAGTGCAAAATTTTGAGGCGGAACGAACGTACATAGGCCTACTGCTGTATTCGGTCGTTATAAAGCAGGGCTTCCTATAAATAAATAACCGGATTATGAAATACCAGATTTATTATTTAGCGAGAGAGAAAAACGCTGAGGCTTTTTTTTTTCCCCTGGGATGGGTCGCTCAGAGATGAAGTCGCTACAAAATTATGAAAGTCGCATATACCAACATGCTATATCACAAAGTTAAAGATTTATTTAGCGAAAGAGAAAAAAACGTTTAGTTTTGGTGTGGGGAGGTGGGTTTTTTTTCTTTTCTTTTTTTTTTTTTGGGGGGGGGGAGAGGCTAACGCTAGAAATACCAGTGGCGAGGCGTAGTGAAGGGCTAAAGGGCTTGAACCCCACCCACTCCCACCCCCACCCCAACTCTTTCCCTCCGTAAATGAATGTTCCTTCTAATAAACGAGATAATCAGTTGAAACCGTTAGAACTGTTTCAGAATCTTTTGCCTCTGCCTTTAGTTGCATGCAGTGAACTCACACGCTTGCTCGTTTATCCAATCACTGTAGTCACCGCTTACAACGATAGTAACCTAACAGCCAACCAAATGTGTTTTGGGTTCAGCAAAGGAAGAGCCCATTCCCACGGTCCTTTCTTAATGAAACTCTTCTTGAAAAAAGGTACGTGTAAAAGAAACAAACGAGAGCCTACGGAAACTGCCAGCCTAGACAATGGGGG